ACTATGAAAAATGCATAAATACAGTGGTGGAGCTTGCTTTTGCATAAACAATACAAGAGAAAAAATCTAAACCAGAAGAGTTTCCCATGTATTTCTTTTAAGCTCACATCAGCTAAAGTGATATTCTTGGCTTTACTTCTCGTCAGAAATGTTTAAAAGTCCAATTTCTTTTTTAGTTAAATCAATTTAGCGCTTTTGCTCAAAAACATCATAGAAAATGATTGTTTAAGACATTCACTCTCAATCCAATGCTTTCTAGCTGCCTCTCCAGCACCCCCAACTTTAATTAGTATCCTGGAATCAATTACTTTATATCTCAACATTTATTCCAAAAAACCTTTTTTGAAAACGTTGTATTAGAAGCATTGAAAAAAGTAAATAATTTGCTCGTTGATACCAAAAAATCCCGTGACTGTATAAACACTGGCGTTGATAGCTTTGTGATCAAAGAATGTCCAACAGCTTTCATGGCTCATCAAAAACTGAATCAAGCTTGAAACTACAGAATCACCACAATATTGCTATACAAGTGTTTTGATCTATTTGGAAAATTTGGCGTCTAGGATGGCCTCTGTAGTAATAACTGCTTCTTGCTCGCCTCGCCCCGACATCACTGCCTTCTGAAGCACGAAAAGACGATCAGATTCAATCAACAGCAGACAATGATTTGAATGATGAACAAATGGAAGCTGATTTGTCAGATGAACAAATGGAAGCTGATTTGTCAGATGAACAATCGAAAAACCGAAGTACCGCCAAAAATGCAAGCTGTGACAATTTTGAATCGGAAGAAATGGCAAAAAAAGTTCTGACAGCTTTAGTAGATTGATGAGTTTTGATTATACATGAGCACATCTAAGCTTTCCTTTTCTACGTTTTAACTTAACAGCAGCTTACGACAGAGTAGTGTAGAGTCAAACGCAATGTTACTGATTTAATTGCATGATTTTTGTGCAATGACCCAGAGTTTTCTAGAAAAAGAACATTTTTTGAGTTCCAGAAAATCACGTGTGAAAATAAATAATTATGATTAAGGTTACACTGTGCAAAGTTCCAGAATGCCCGAATTGGAGTTCCAAACCGTAATTCAGACCGAGTTAAAAAACTGATAAATACAGTGATAGAGCTCGCTTTTGCATAAAGTAATATCACCAGCTAAAGTGAAAACTAACTAAAGTGATATCCATCGCTTTACTCCACGCGTGCTAAAGAAGTTTTTTAATCCAGTTTTTTTTAAGTAATCCAGTTTATTTTTTAAGTTTTTAATCCAGTAATTGTCAGTTTAATTGAAATGCCTAAACAATTTTAGCAAATCATTTTCAACTGTCTAAATTTCAGCGCAAAATGTAGACATAATGATTTTGTCCCATTTGTGCAGTAGACCAGTTGTTTTTTGTTACTGTTTTTTGCTATTCAATTTTTCAATTTTCTACCTTTCAAAAACTCTGAAAACAATCGATAATCGATCAAAAAAATTTTAATGGTAACGATTGGGGAGGTAAGGGGATCAAAGAATACAACCCAGAAAGAGAGGGCGTTGTCTCAGGTGGTAAGTGTGGTTTCGGTGGGAGAGTATTCACGAGGTGGGGTAGGGAAATGGTGCAAGTGGAAGGGCGGCAAAAGGGCCAACGTTGGGATGGGGACAAAATTTCTACATTACTCAGTGAAAAAAAATCAATTTGTATTGCATTATGTTGTGAGTGCAAAAAGGGAACCGACTGTAATGATAACATTTTACACCACAAATATCCATTACATTTGTTGTACAATTTTCGCGTAAACAAGACAAGAGAAAACTCAAAACGAGAAAATTTCGGTTCAACTCGAAAATTGCATGGTACAAAGAGTTCACATCAAAAGTTTACATCAGCTTAAGTGATATCCTTGGCTTTACTTCTCGCCTGAAAAAAATGTTCAACGCAGTTTCTTTTTTAGTTGAATCAATTAAGCGCTATTGCTAAAAAAATCCACAGAAATTTGAGTGTTTTAAGACATCCACATTCAATGCAATGCTTTCTAGCTGCCTCTCCAGCACCCCGAGCGTTTATTAATATCCTGGAATCAAATTTTTTAAATCTCAACATCGCATCCAAAAAACATTATTTTAAAACGTTGTACTAAAACATTGAAAAAAAGTTTGCTCGTGGAGATCAAAAAATCCTGTGACTGTATAAACACTGGCGTTGATAATTTTGAGATGAAAGAAACATCCTTCATTGCTTTTCAAAAACAGCATCAAATTTGAAATTACAGAATCACTAAATTTTTGCTATACTAGTGTATTGATCCACTTAGAAAACTTGACGTCTAGGATGATCTCTGTAGGCCAGTTTTACGAGGCCAAACTGTGCTTTTTGTGAATTGTAAGCGGATTCTGCAACAACGACGCTCCCTTTGTTCTTCTTTTTTTGTTAGTTTTCTTTGATCGTTCGGAAAAACTTTCAACATCTGTAAAGACTTGTCTCTGGAATCCAGGAAAATACAGGCAAAAAATTGTGCGCTTTTCCAGAGCACAAGTTTGGCCTCGTAATGAAATATTCATTAAGTTAATTTCTTTTACTTTTCTTTGTTGCGGGTGGTGCCTTTTTGTTTGATTTCCCAAAACCGCAATTCAGACCGAGTTTTAAAAAATCGCATAAATTCAGTGATACAGTGATAGAGCTAGCTTTTGCATAAATTAATATCACCAGCTAAAGTTATATCTAACTAAAGTGATATCGATCGCTTTACTCCTCGCCGGCAAAAAAAAATTTTTAATTCAGTTTATTTTTTAAATTTTTAATCCAGTAATTGTCAGTTTAATTGAAATGCCTAAACAATTTGGTTAAAATTGATTGGCAAATATACTAGTGTATTGATCCATTTAGAAAATTTGACGTCTAGGTTGGCCTCTAGTAATAACTCCTTCTTGCGCGCCTCACTCTGGCATCAATGCCTTCTGAAGCACGAAAAGACGATCAGATTCAATCAACAGCAGACAATGATATGAATGATGAACAAATGGAAGCTGATTTCTCAGATGAACAATTGAAAAACCGAAGTACCGCCAAAAATGCAAGCTGTGACAATTTTGAATCGGAAGAAATGGCAAAAAAATTCTGACAGCTGTAGTAGATCAATGAGTTTTGATTATACATGAGCACATCTAAGCTTTCCTTTTCTACGTTTTAACTTAACAGCAGCTTACGACAGAGTAGTGTAGAGTCAAACGCAATGTTACTGATTTAATTGCATGATTTTTGAGCAATGGCCCAGCGTTTTCTAGACAAAGAACATTTTTTGAGTTCCAGAAAATCACGTGTGAAAATAAATAATTATGATTAAGGTTACACTGTGCAAAGTTCTAGAATGCCCGAATTGGAGTTCCAAACCGCAATTCAGACCGAGTTAAAAAAAAACACATAAATACAGTGATAGCGCTAACCAAAGTGATATCCATCGTTTTACTCCTCGCCTGCAAAAAAAAGTTTTTTAATCCAGTTTCTTTTTAAGTAATCCAGTTTCTTTTTTTAAGTTTTCATCCAGTAATTGTCAGTTTTAAATGAAATGCCCAAACAATTTGGTTGAATTGATTGGTAAATATTAGCAAATCATTTTCAACCGTCTAAGTTTCAGTGCAAAATGTAGAAATAATGATTTTGCCCCATAATTGCAGTAGACCAGTTGTTTTTAACCAGCGTACCATAAAATTTTACACAGATAAGAAGCTTCGTTTCGCATACAGAGGCGAAGCTTTGCTTCAAATACACTAGCCTGAAAAATAGAAAAAAGCCTCGAATTCGTGAAAATTGGCTTCGTCTCGGATTCGATCTGCGACCTCGAGATTATGAGACTTTTGCACTAACCACTCAGACACGGACGCATAATAGATCACAAAAACTAATAAAAAAAGCTGATAGACGCCAAAAAATTTGAAATCCTACAGGTCGTCATTATAGCATAAGTACCACCAAATAAATGAACACTTTTAGTAAGGGTTGCGAGTTGAGTTCGAAACAAAGACGGTTCGTACATGTTCACTACGCTCGCAACCTCGCAAGTGTAAACAAATTTTCTCCATAATTTTTTTTCATGATTTTGAGACGTTTTCTTCTCAAACTAGAGCTCCAAAAATCCGGCAAACAGTCAAACAAAATTTATTCGAAATCCGAATCACAGCTGAAAATATATTATCGATCCTCTATTGTTCTTATTCATGTTAACTAAATGCGTTAAAAAACACTTTAGGCCATAATTGCCACACAAGCATAAGGGGGTAGTCGGATCATAAGCTCTTACCATGGTGAATACTTCTAAAATTGACTTCTCAACTATTAAATATCTGATCTTACCCTTGCCAAAACAAAAATATCTAATTCTAGCGACCTCGAGAATTGGAGTCTAACGCCCTGCTTTCTCGGTCACAAACGTTTAACAATTGGCCGAAACTAGTCACAAATCAATCAGCTAAATCTGCTTAAAACAAATACAAACAGACATATTTTTGCAAGTAAGTTTGGAATATAATAAACTGAAGGCATCCTAACTAATTTTGCTTGTAATAACTTGGAAAGCATAAAACCACATTATGCTTAAAATGTGCATTTCAAAAAATTACGAGATTACTGAGGAAGAAAACTTCTGAAATCGAGTTTTTTCAATAGACGCGAAATTGCACTTCGTTTACGCCAGCAAAAATATGACCAATAACTCTACTGGAAAAACTGAATGTGAAAAATTTTAAGTCTACAAAGTTTCTCAAGTGACGCACGCCAATTATGAGTCTACATAATTGCTACGTGACGCAAGCCAATTATGATGTATTAGCAGTACCAGTCAACTTGATTTTAAAAAAAAATAAATTTACCAAGTAACATGCCTATTTATCGAGCGGACTCACTTTAACTAGTATACGAAAAAGTTGTTTAAAAACATCCTACCCTATCCAGGTTTGAACCCTCTCATTTGTTGTTTGAACCCTCTCAAAATTGCTAAGAAGCAGTTGCCTTACCATAAAATGATTTGAATTAAAACATCGAAATTCTCGCATAAATAGTTGCATCATCTAAGAGTTTTTAAGTGAGTCATTAGTTATTTCCATGCAAAGAGTCTCCAGACGGTTGCACGTTATTAGGTGTCTCAACATTGCGAATGAGTTGAGCCTGCCAGCGTTTCGTGTTGGGTTCGTCTTTCAGACATGCCTGGAAAAATGACTGATCTTTCAGTTGCTCTGGCAGACAAGATCTCAAAGCCTCTCTGGCTCTGGGATTGTCACTAAGTCGGAGGTAGCATCTGATCACGTGTTTCAAAAGCCGCTGTGAAGGTTCTTTCGCAAGAGCCATGACCATTTTACCCTGAAAAAGAAACATCAATGTCTTCTTTTAGAATTAAATACTTCAACTATAATTAATAACTTTTCTCTAGACAGCTATCATACTAATTTTGAGAAAGTTTGTTGAACGTAGATTACTCACAAGTATGAGAGCAACGTGGGAAAAGCGATCATACGTCTGGCAGATGTAATTCAATCCAGTTTCATCCAGAAGGATCTTCTGCAAGATAAAGGTAGCTACCTGAAAAAAAAAATCTATTTCCATGCGGTCAAACTTCATACCACGTTTGCTTATCTACGCAGTATCTTAGCGCATATGCAACCAAAAAGCTAGTATGTTGCTTCCAGTTGATCTGAGACTGAATTAACACCGTCTATATTTCTGGGAATAACTATCCTATTTAGTATATCAAGAGCTTTAATTTTTCATAATTAAATATCGGTTTAATATCATAAGCGGTTTTCGTGGAATATCACTTGCAGTCTTGGATAATTCTGATCCGTTCTCCATGATGCGCAGACAGAGGGGGATGATCTCAGTGGTGAGTAGGAAGTTGATCACATCCACTTCGTCTGTCTTCACTAGAGCCCCTATCACTCCCAGGCTAGTCAAACGCAGGTACTCGAATGGTCTAGTCTTGCTAGAGGTGTGTAGAAACGGGTACAGATACAGAGGGATCTGAGCTGAAATATCATGGGAAATCACTTAACTTCATTTTGACACAGAGGCTAAGCGGAGCTTCGCACCATTTGCGATACCACTTCCAAATAGCATTGCCAGCCAGCAGACAGGAAAGGAAAGCCACCACCACCACCAAAGTCCACCAGGAAAGTCCAAAGAAAGGAAAAAGAAAGAGTCCACAAAATGTTCATCATGATGTCTGGAATGATGTTCTATTTGCGGAAAACACGTCCAGAAACACGATCGAAGGCGTTAATGAAAACTCGAAAACAATTATCAAACGGCAATGGCCGACAAAACTTGGGTAAATTCCATTACAACCGTAAACAAAAATTTTGTCATGAAAAACTTGACTATTTATTCTACTTTTAGACTTTTAGCATTTAATGCGATCCGGAGGATAGCATAATATGTGTTTCCTTTGAAAGGACCCAAAATCAGGACACTATGCCGATAAAAAATAGGCAGAAATAATTTGGGCCGAATAAATTATTTAAGCGAAACAAAAACTAATAAATACGAACTCAAGGTAAGTAAAATTACAAATTGCAGTAGTAAATCAAAACACTATAAGCAACTACAATGCATTCAGCAAAAAAAACTAGTCTAATATTTGACAACTAAGCCGCAAAAAAAAACAAGCAGACAAATAATAGGGCGGAAATTTTATTTTAAACAATAGTTCCAGTTTGAAAAAAAAAAACAGGTCCTGATCAGCTTCGAATCCACGACCTTTGCGGTACCATGCGTATTCGTGACCTCCAGGCTAAGTGTGCCGGGGACGCAAAGAAATTTGAATTCATCGGGAGAAAAAAGTCTGGTACTCGATAGCAACACCCTTGCAAATCTCAAGGGTAATAACTACTAAACAGTTAAACAACTTTTGGTAGGCAAGATTCTACCATAACTTTTCAACTAACTATCCAAATAAAACCATTTATTTATGCCCACCCAAAAACTTTCCGACGCGGCTCTTACCATGTAAAAATGGAGTTCTAGTTTCTGGGTGCGAGGCCACACACTGCAGCAGGGCTAATGCATTGCACACTCTATTGCTTTGATGAGCCTAGAATTGTCAAACTAAATAATAAAGTACACTTGACAATATAGTTTTGATCAAAATATAATGAAAGTAACACTTATTGTCATGACTGGAGGGAATATAAGAGGATATATGTTGGTTATTTCCTGTAGAAGAGCGGCTACAGTTCCAAACGAGTTCCACAGCATTGGAGCCAAGTCGGGAACTGATTCACGCTTCTTGCTGAAACAGTAAATCCACTCATTGTATATACTTCATTAAAATTGCAACTTCAAAATCCCTCGACCATAATCGATGGTTTGACCATTTTTCACATTTGACCTTTCCAGCTGCCTACAATACATGAAAAAGGACTCAAGTGCATTCAAATTGCTTCCTTGCGTGTCCAAAAAAATCAGCAGTTGATTCAAATTTATATTTCAACAGTATTTGGGCCTAAGTAATGCGTGCGTCTTCACCTTAGTTCTAGTAAACTATTTTCGCGAGTCTCCGAGCATCCCAAGTCCTCAATCCACTTGAACACATACTCATGACTCACTGCCTCTCCTTGCATTACTCCCATGCTCGCGACATTCGAGCCAGCCCCCACTGCCAAACCAGAACCCAGGGTGGCCGCAGACATTGAGGCACTACTCGCACCACCTCTTCTATCCCCAGTCGGTCCCGCTGGTAAGGATACTGCTGGTGAGCCTATACTGTGGGAAAATTGCTGATTCGATCCAGCAATGGGGTTCATGATGTTAATTTAAATACAATTGCAAAGACTATTTCAAAGATCTGAAATTAAAACCAATCATTAGTATCATGTGGTCGAATTGGACAATAAGCACAACTGGATGGAAAAGGGAGGCCGAACTAACCTTCCATTCAGAAGGAAAAGGGAACTCACGATTAACTCAAAATCCTCAAAACTGCTATAGAATTAATCCTACTGAAATAATCTAACCAAATCTATGTATGGACTTTGTTACTTCACTGTATAATTCACATTTGAAACAAAAGCAAAAACAATCATATTGTTATATCGATAACGTCGCCTCTAATCCTACGAGCCAGTACCATATCTCTAGGCATAATAGTCACTCTACGCGCATGCATACAACACAGATTCGCATTCTCGAATAGATCAACTAGATGTGCCTCCGCAGCCTCGTGAAGAGCTCCTAAAGCGGCAGTTTGCCATCTCAAATCTTCACTTGAAACATTGATACTAATCTCTCTAACTAGTCTTTGGAACGGCAATTTTCGAATAAGTAACTCGGTCGATTTTTGATACCTTTTGATTTCGGATAGTGCCCACTGGCGCCTTGGTTCGTTTTTATCTTTTCGAGGAGAGCGATAATGCGTTATCTTTTCAGGCTTCTTTCTCCTGTTCTCGATTATGTTCTTTTGGGGAGCATTCTTCCGCATTTGCTTCAATTTGCCTCCTCCAATGGATGTCAGGGTGCCAGTAACAGACTCAGCATTGGTCTGCTTAAACCTCATTTTATGAACTGTAAACTTAACACCCCGATATTTAACATTTGAATGATTTTTAAACGCTTTTCTCGATTTATCTTGCAGGAAGTATATTTTATGAAAAACATACCACGAAAGACAAGTGTAGGTGTTGAATTAGCATTGCGACAAAACTTATGAAAAGTCATCTGTATGAAGCCGACAAAACTAGTGCGTTTGTCAAATTAATTGTCATAGACAATTTTGAGCTGTAATGCATAATGAAACATTTTTTAGTTCCAACTAAAATTGAGCCGACATCACAAATCAAACCTTGAAAAAACTGAAACAAGAACTACAGGTTGCTGTTCAAGTAGCACAAAAAGTACGACAACGATAAAAATAACATAATTAAAACATACATTTCGTTCTTGGTGTGACGAAAGCGATGTGGTGAAAGGAGCTAGACAAAGGCTTAGAACGGCTTCGAAAAATCAAAAAAAAACTTTCAATTATTTTGCTAATTTTTTTGAACTTTTCAAAAAAATTCCCTTTAAAAAATGGATCACAAGAGACCAACAGCTATGTAACATGAGCATAAACAGTTGCTGCGCAAAAAGCACAGAAATTAAAACCACAATACAGTACAAACTGATTTTTTTAATTGTGTTAATTTTTTTGTTGGTAGTGTGATGAAAGGATCTGAACGAAAACCTAGAAACAAGACTGCACGTATATCTGGGCAAAGGCCTGAATGTCCCGACTGCACTTAGGGCCAATTGAAAAAACTTTTGGTTGAATAATTGACAAATTAATTGGGAAATAAGTTTTCTACTCCACTGGTTCTTCATTTTTCTCCCAGCACGCTATGTAAAATACGACGGGTGTATTTAGCGTCTCGTATTGTGATAATAGGATTTAATTGGTGACTTCAATTCAATTTTGAACGCATTAATTCTCTTCTTACGCGTGTTATAATCGTACTTCAATTATCCCGAACTGGTCAAATTAGCCATTTTCAAACGCCCGTAACTTTACGAAAAATGATCACAGACAAAATATATTTTTGACTTTGAGCTTAGGATAAGAATATCTCTTGGATGGTATAAAAAAATTCCGTCAAAACGCTTAGTTAGCAAGTCGAAAATTGACTGAATAAAAAAACCGCACCAAGCATAAATATTCCTGTTTCTTCGAAAGTCGGAACAATCAGGGATAGTCGATAGTCAGAATTAAAAATGGCAGAATTAATGAAAGAAATACTAACATACTGCAGAACTACTAAAAGACGTTACTAAAATGCACTCTGATAAAAACTTAGTTTTCGCAGCTTTAAAAAGCTGATTCTCCAATTACATACCTTCTCGCTTCCTTTACTCGTTCAAAATTTGACGATCATTTGTGGTACTCGAGATTTCGTCGGAAAACATTAAAAAATAAAATAAATACAGATGCTAGCTGCAGCTTCGCAAACACGTGCAAGAAAGAGGCAAAGATTCGGATGGACAAAAGATTTAAAATGCACAAAAATTTAAATTTTGCCCTGAATAACTTGGAATTTAATAAGCTAAAGGCCACCACGATAATTTTGCATGTACTAAATGAGACTATCTAACCAAATTGCGTATAAATCATGGCCTCTTGGGAGCCCGAGAACATGAGCAATATGAACGGCACAAAAACATAGTACCCGGTTGCAAGATCCTTGCCAATCACAATGGTAAAAACGCATTCAAACTCTCTTCTCTCGATCTATGTTTAGAAAATATCAATTCAGTCGATCTTATTAGCAAAAGCATATTGAAAATACAAACAAATGGCAATTGGGACTTTGAAATTGATAAACAGACACAAAAACAAGCAGAGAATCGTTCAAAAACATCGGCATACGGCATGCGTAACCCCGACCTACATTTCCAATCAATTTTCTTCACGACTCAGCCACATCGCCTTCCTGTCTTCTCATCACCCCGCATCCGTAAAGCAGGTAAAACAAATACTATTATTAAGAGCTACCGGCAAGCAGAATTAGAGCAGATCACAGTTAGTGAGATAGAGCAAAAAGAGCAACATTTTGTCCAAGTTAAGAAAAAAAAGAACCCGCCTTCAAACCAAAGCGTCTGCTTGTTTAATAAGATTGATTTTCTAATCACTGCCGTTGCTGGGAAAACATTTTGAATGGCAGCAGCATCTTGTACAGTAACTTACTTCAATGTTTCATCAGAGGCGAAGCTGCACTTCGTACACAATGACTAAAGGAAGCTTCAAAAAGCAATTAAAATACAGAAACAAACCAAAAACCCATAACCGATTCTAAGTTTCTTGCAATGGAGCTAAAACATTTGATATCTTCTAAACAACCGATATCTTTAAATAGATATCTTTTTTAACCATTAACCAATTTAAAAAACTTCTAATCAAATCGGTTTTACCAATTTTGCTGTTAAACATAGATAAAACAATTTATAAAAACGCACAATTTTAGAGTAAACGATGCAGGCTTTAAAAGTATTCGGAGCGCTAGTTTTGTCAGACGTAGTCAAATTATATTAAATTGCCGTAATTTCTAATTATCAATCGATGGAGCACGACGGGGAGGGTTCTCATGCTTGAAGGACCGAATGCTTGAAAAATTTCAACCAATCAAAATCGCTAAGCATTCATATTGGCTAAACTTCACACAAAATCGAAGTCAATATTAACAGAAAATGTATCAAATTAATAAAATAATCAAAAATAATACAAATTGCGGGTTACAACCGCAATACTATTCAGATAAACATCAAGATTTATGAGTTCAAGTTCATAAGAATTTTTCAGTCTTGAAAACTTATCTGCTTAATTATCTAATCGGTCGGTATTAACAGTAATGACCTGGATTTGTTTTTTACTTTAGATTTTCGCAATTTTCATTGAGATTATGAATACTCAATTCTGATTGGCTGTAAGTAAGCTAAAATTAGTTTAAAGCCTTCGGTCCCTCAAGCATAAGGGACGCCACCGAGCACGACTGAGTGGTTTGATGTGGCGTGAAAAAAAAACAAGTCATTGGACTTAATTCGTTTCAGAAGGCACTCCTGAAAAGCTTATATGCGGTGCAGTTTCAATTGACTAAAAAGACCTGTATTTAACTAAATCGCCTTAACCTTATGGTAACTGGTTACACCAGTTTCAAAAGTCATTTTTTAACCAATTGGTTAATCACGTGTTTAAACAAATGGTTATATTGGAAATAACTGACACAGATATTGAATACTGAAAATGAGCTCCAGTTTAGCTTGAAAAAAATAGTAACACACCACAATCTTATGCTTGGATAAGTTATGAGCAGAACTGAGAAAACAACAGTTCAAACTCATGAGGCTACAATCCGCACCAAGCGACAATTCTTAACAGATTAAGCGGAGAACACCGATTCACTCCCAGTAGTCTTCTCGTACCTAATGTAAGCGCATAATAGTGAAGCATCGCAAGCGTATTATACTTGCCAATGCCTCGTTACGCCAATGCCTAATAGCCAAAACCTCGTTCTAATGGCTTTGCTTGCCAATGCCTGGCTACTAACATTGTCTTGTAACCACGAGAGACTAAACAAGCCATCGCCGACAGCTAATCTTCACGAGCACTCGTGTGGAGGTCTGATGCGATATTCACTTCAAAACTTCGGTCATCTAGCCTTGTGCCATCAACTTTTCTTTTTAATTCCGCGCTGTCTGAAAACATAATCCCTCTTATGTGGAAAAACTCGAAAATAATACCCTTGCCCAAACCAGATACACTAAGCTGTCAACATCATGCGGTCCTATATCACTTCTTTGTCAAGCAATTAGAACTCCAGAGAGACCCATTCGTCCAATTTTTACTGAGCATCTACCAATTACCAAGCATCAACACGGTTTCCGACATTTTCACTCCGTCAGCACTGCATTCTGTCAACCCTTGAACTTGACGTCTTAGACGGTTTTAATCATAATCGACTCCCTTGCGCCCTGTCCTTGCTACACTAGACCTTTCAAAGGCTTCGATATGGTGTGTCATCACACACTGCAGAAACTCGTTCATGACACGCCGCTCCCAATAGTCATAGTGCGCTAGCTCAGCAACTATTTAAATGAGCATCAAGTCACCACTTGCTTTCGCGAACAGTCATCCCCCCATAGAACAATTTACTGCAGATTTCCCCATTGTCCGGAATATCGCCCACTCTTTTTAATTCATGACGCCCCTACCCCCTCGTCAAACAATTCTGAACTGCTTTAAAGAAGCCACTGAACTTCTTTTCAACTACTCGTTGGCTCCCTAGCACCCCACACTACTTGGAACCTTTTCAACTGTTCGCAGATCCCCTCCCTAATTAGTCCTGCAGGTGTGTGGTTTCGGCCGGTGGATGCCGCGAAGTTCCTAGACCTGGACACAGACGAGCATAATCCGACCCCGGGCCAAAAGCCTCGTTACGAGTTGTCGCTTGTTACGAATTGTCGCCTCTTACGAAATGTCACCTGCTACGAATTTTCGCCCTTTTGTTAAACTAGACAAAAATCGGTATGGGCCACGCTTGAATTAATATAAATGTAGCATAATCGTGTAAATAAATAATATGTTTTCTACTTTCAAAAACTGTAATCAGAAATTGCTTTCACAGACTCGTACTAAATCATGCTCGAACTAATTTTAGTATTGTGGTTCATTCTTGGTCACGAACCCATCGGGCTGATTGACGTATAAATTGGGATCATGTTCTACGAAACCAGAGTCATTAAGCTGAGAAATCTGTTGCCATATATCCTCAGTGGGCTCTGGCTTCACGTAATTCGAGTAGGACGCCGGCGCCATCGATGACCCCGCGTGAGCTGCAGGATGACTGCTGTTCTGTCTCACATAGTGTGGAGCAGTGTCACACACCACTGATGAGCTCTGGTTAGGCTGATGGGGTTCATTGTAGTTCATTCTGTCGTCTGACGTCACTCCGTTGAACTTGGCGCTTCCTCCGCAGTGGTTCCCGTCCTGACTCACTAGCACGTAGTCTGTCTGTCTAGGTGCCATCAGTTGGCTCTTCTCGATCTTGAAAGAGAACGAAACTACTCTGCCACCTTGTGCATTCAAGTTGTAGTCCATATGCGGGTTGTAAGCCATTATTTTTCAACAATTTGGTTCTTCGCGCGTGTGAGAAAGCAACGAAAACTTAAGGAAAAACACAATCAAGACACTGAAATGCTAGAAGAAAACTAAATATTTGAAAAAAAAAACTAAATACAAAGTTTCTGGTTATCAATTTATGAATACCCCGATGTAAGTCCGGGGACATTTTATAGCGCCTCGGGAATTTCGTCATGGCAAGGCAATCAATCTGCCATTCTTTATTCTTTGAACTTATCAATATCATCCGTAGCTAATGAGTATTGAAAAAAGCTTTGGCCAAGATTTTTCAAAAAAAAACTATTGCAATTCACAATAAAAATTGAAATTTCCAAGACATCAACTCAAGTTATAAATATTGCGAACACAAGAAACAAAATAAACGATAGACAGTATTGATAACGTCAGTCAAAGTTGCAGAATCTTCAATTCATCTAGGCAACGCTAACTATTTCATAACTAAAAGCATGTTTGTTTCATTTCATCATATTTGGTTGCTTCTTCCCAATGAGAGATTTGTGAATATGAGGTATCACTCCACCTCCTGCAATAGTAGCTTTGATCAGCGTATCCAGCTCCTCATCGCCACGAATAGCCAGTTGCAGATGTCTGGGAGTGATTCTCTTCACCTTCAAATCTTTACTCGCATTTCCCGCCAGCTCCAAAACTTCTGCCGTTAAGTATTCCAAAATAGCCGCACTGTACACAGCAGCAGTTGCACCCACTCGACCTTGTGACGTCATCATAGACTTGAGAAAGCGATGGATTCTGCCGACTGGGAACTGCAAACCCGCCCTGTGAGACCTGGACATAGCTGGCCTCTTCACTTTTCCAGCGCCTTTCCCCGACTTTCCCCCACCCATTTTACGCAACCCGGTCTCAGGATAAAAACAAACTTTTTTGTCACAAGAAACCTGAAAATTCTATCTTTCCGTAAATTTTAAAAAATGATGTGATGTCTCGATTTCGAGACCGAGGTGGCTATACAGTCCAATCTGCGCAGATGACAATTTTAGCAAGATCCGGTATTAAATCCCGCTACAAGGCTATAAGCATTCTAAGATGTATATAGATGGACAAAAAAAAACAAAATTTAACAAACAGTGGCACTTGCTATGCAAGTAGCACAGAAGGTTCAGAGCACAGCTACAAGTACAAACAAAAAATCTATTTTTGGTAGTCGGTAAGAGGGTTCGATTAGATAATTATGAAATCAGAAAGCAGGAATTTAAGAATGCAGAAATAGCTTTACGACAAAAATTACCGAGCGGTAACTGAGCAGACAAAATTTGAGAAGACGCCCGTTAAGCCGGGAAAAAAGCTAAAAACAACCTAAAGCACGCACACATCAAAAAATCTTGTCGGACGACGTAAAAGGAGGCAAATTAAAAACCAACATAGCATACGCCAAAAAAATTTTGACCCGAAATTTGAAAATGTACGAAATCTGGGAGCTTAATTACCTGCGCCATTCAAAATTTAGATTACGTATTCTAACAAATGGTATCCAAAAGCTAAGCCTACAAAAAAAATTTGTACCGCGGGAACGATGTCGACAAAAAAGGAGTCAAGATAGTCCGGGAACTGGGATTTTTTAAAGCATAAATTTCCAGCTTTGAAAAAAATACAGGTCTCGCTCACAGGAATTGCACACCAGGGCTTTATCTTACCAACCATTCGCGTAAACTCTAGATTAATTGGGCCGCATTGCCATTGGATTTGAAACTAATATACAGACGCGAAGCTGAGCTTCGCACTACTTGCGATACACAATAAAGCTCCAAAAATCAAAAGATAATTTTTTAAACGAGTTTTGTTGAACATGAATGAATTTTGTTGAAATCGTAGGCACAAAAATCAGAAATTTTTTTGCAATTGTTATGGAAGTCAATTATCTTCAAAACAAAAGAATGATTTGGGCTTAACTCCATCCACTTCTTTCTGATAACCAATAGATGAAAACGATAAAACATTTCGGTCATTTTTAAGGTACTCAAAAACTTTTCATTAAATATTGCAACCAAACAATCTGCATATCCAATAAGCACAGTCGGGATAAAAATGCTATCCGCTATAGTACAAGATCACAATAAAAAAAATTCAAACACATGAATGCAAAAATTGAACAATTGCCACCATCTTGCAGAAAATCTGAAAAACTCTTAAATCCTATGAAAACAACGCAATCAAGAACTATCAGTTATGAAATTTATACGCAACTGTAAAAAAGCTAGATCACAACAAAAAAACGCCAAAAATTGAAACAAAAATAAACATGAAAGTTTTTCAACAACCACACGCCTAAATCTCGTGCAGAATTTGACGCCACATTCCTTTGTAGACAAAAAATTCAAGTCAAACTTACGAAAAATTCTAGAAAATTATCATTTTTTTGACAAATTAAAACAATACAATTCAACTAAAATTGCTTCAACCATAAAACTATCAAATTAATTACAAGTAGAACTAATTTCACGCATTTTTAGAAGAATCAGAAGCCAATCATCCGAAAAAAAGAAAATTTCTAGCAGGAAAATCGATAAGTTTTATTTATAAGAGAAAATTTTGGCGCCTATAAAAACCAGAAAACCATGAACTATAATTACCCTCATGAAAACAAAGAAAAAAAGTAGGTAATTACTAGAAACAATTACTTTGACTAATTCTTTTGAAAATGATTGCTTGAATAACTCGCCTAACCCAAACCAGTCGAAAATTATATTCAGAATACATTTGATCTCCTGACCTCATTGTTTTCAGTATTTCTGTAAGATCTAATGAGACTTAAGAGTAAGATTAAGATCAGTATTGGACAAATGCGTTTCAAAAGCCTATACGCCCGAAAATAGATAACTCTTACTGAAATTACAATAAGAGATAGCAAATCGAATCCATCCGAATAGATAAGTTGGTCGCATAAAACGCACAAAATTTATTCCACCAAATTGACAACTTTCAGACCTCTAAAAATTTACAAAATTTATCGCAGGTTAAGGATTTCAGCATTTCAGCTCATGGCATTGATATTTTCTAAGTGATACAAAAGTGTATCTCAAAAACTGTTGTTTCGATTTAAGGCGAGGAAAAATTTGCTACCTGCATTAGGAAAAAAGACAGAACCTTCAACACTACGCTCGCCGAGTAAAAACTTAAAATTGACTGTTTTGTCAAATTTTACTCTGCTTCATATAGACATTTGTAGGTTAATTAATCATCTCGCGCTAGGTTTATCGAATAAATGGTTTGGTATTAGCCAAAAACGATCACGAAAAATGGTGAATGAAAAAGATTCAGACGAGCATATTTACTTTTTATACTGATACCATTATTACCTTGCTTCGAATTATTCATCTCTTCAAACCCACTCAATTAACGATAAAATATGAACATACTAAGGAGTGCATCTTCTACTGTAATTCTCGGAAAGTATTAAATTATTAATGCGAAAATCCAATATTTCCTTCAGACTGTTTAAAACAAATAAGTTATTCGATTATTTTCCACACGTGAAAAATTCATTCAACTTTTTCTTGCAATAAGAATAACATCCGGAAGGGGGGAGGGGGGCCGACCTTTTACTATACCGACTTTTTACCAGAAAAGTTATCACATGGACCTTTTACGAGACTCGATAAACATATTTGATATACAGATGTAAAGACAATGATTTCACGTTTTTTCACCGAAGTTTTGTTCTAACGGCTTTCATTTCCACTAATTTTAATTCATCTTAAGTGAATTATTGCATATGTCTAGTAAAAGATCGGTCTGGTAAAAGACTTAGCCCCGGCCGGAAGGACTGTGGTGCTCTTATATCACATACAGCTACAACACCACAATCATACTACTCCATTGTTCACCTAATTAATCAAAACTCTCACGCATCCCAAAACGAACTACTCCCTTGTTCACCTAATAAATCAAAACTCTCACGCATCCCAAAACAAACTAAGTGCCGGCAGCAATTTTACGCTTTTCAAAGAGTTACAAGAACTAACACCAATTTTGGCTCAAAATGATCAGTTTATCGGACAACGTCTCAATTTTATGCAATAATTCTGACTCAAATTAATTCAAAATGTTTCTTAGAAGTTTCCCATTGTTTTTTGCCGCCATTCCCATCTTCATGCTTTTAAATTAAGCGGCAGACCGATGTGGACTGAAAACAATTGACAATATCCACAAAACAAACGTCTCTGAAAAATCAGTTTTCTAAACTGTTCCAAAAGCAATTTACAGAGGCGAAGTGGAGGTGTGGAGCTTCGCAAAAGTTGTGATAACGTAAGATTTGCATAGCAAGCTGGCGAATAGAAAATGAAACTAACTACAAAAGCCTCATAAATTTGTCTCGACTGATGTTTAATTTCACAAAAAAAAACAGTCACAAAACACGATCAGCAGCGTAACACAAACGATTACTATTGGTCACCGAGCGGTCAATAAGGGACAGTACTTGGATAGACGCTCATCCGAAACATAAAACGCCATAAAAGATTTTGGGCAATTAAGTTTTTACACCCCGACACACTATAAAGTGCCTGATCCAATATAACATACGCCGAAACTATTAGAACAAAAAAAGTGTGTATTGAGAGTCAGAGTTCAAAACTTTCAATAATAATAACAATTGTTTAAAACAAAAGAAAAAAAGTTCCTTGGAAATTAAGCCTACAAAGTAAACAGGCAAGCGATAGTCCGCTCAAAATTTCACAGAAAAAAAACAAACACACGCAAAGCTGCACTTTGTAGACAAATGAGAAAGCTCTAAAAAGTGGAATAAGGAGAGAAAAGGTAAAAATCGCTGAAAAAGAATCGTTTCCATGTGCCAAAATCGAACCGCCGGCCTGGAGATTACGAGTCTCACGTCCTCATATCTGCGCCATGATCACTTGAATCAGCAAAAAATATATTAGAACCAATAGAACAAGAAATTGCCAATGACGTGCAGGAAAAGTGCCAGGACTTATAGTTGCAAGTTAGATTGGATTCGTTAATTTACACAACGCTCGCAAGCTGGTTCGTGTAATTAAGTTGAAAAGCAAGGTTTGACCAGGATTCATACCCAAAATCTAAGAACTCAAGGCACGCGCGTTAACGCTAGACCAGAAGTGAGAAGAGTCCTCGAAGCGTCGGGGTTTTATACTAAAGCAAGTTCAATTTTTTCTTACATTTTGTAATAAAATGTTTCATGGGAGAAAACGTCTACTTCCTGAGTAGAAGGCACTTGCTCTCCCAAATGAAAAAACGCATTCCAATTTCAATGCCGTCTAATTTCGCCACATCCAGGTAAAAATAAGTCCCACATTTGAGACACATAATAAGTTTGTTATAAACTATACCTAGAATATTTTTTAAATGGAATGGTTTAAACATAGTTATATAACGCTCAAGAGTTTTATCGATCAAGAAAAAACGCAAAGTTAGATTCTTAATACAACAAATGATTTTTAATAAAAACTATTCAAATGGAGATATATCTACATTACTAAGAACAATTGTTTCTGTAAAACAAATATCTAACACAGCCGCTTTCAAAACAATACTTCTAGAGCGTTATGCAGGCAACATTGGCAACTTTTGATGCTGAATCTTGTAGTGTTTCATTGCGCCTGCTCTGTTAGCAAACAACTTCTGGCACCCTGAACAGAGAAACTTGCCAGAACCGTCTGGATCAAGCGTCACAAATGCTGAGCTACCAGAAACTACAGAAATTGCATCAACTGGTTCCGCTTTGACTTGAGTATTTCCTACAGTTTCAACCGACGCCTCTATAGACATTGCATTCACTTCAATAGAGGGACAGGTTTGATTTTGAACTTCAGGTTCTTCAGTTGGTGATGGGTTTTGATTTCTGTCGTTGTTTTCGTCGTCAAAGAATCCAGAATCGTTAACTGGGGTGCCACTACCACAATCCATTAGCTCGTCCTTGACCGGAACCACTACACCAGGTGCTTCCGGAAGCGGCGCTTCCAGGCCAGGTTCTGTTTTAACAGAGGAGGTAGCGGTTTGTTGAGGAAGAGGTGCTTCAATTTTGCCATCAAACTTGAACTTTCCTTTGCATTGTGAGCCGTCTTTACTGACTATCAGAAATTCTGATCCCACTGGACTAGGAGAAAGCAGCGTTTCTTTCTTAACAGTAAAGGATAGAGACAGTTGTCGACCTGATGATGCAGCCATTTCCATAGATAGAAAGAAGTACAAGTATTTTGCCAAACAAATCAACGAACTTTCAAAAAACAACAATCCTGAAATGACTTCAACCATAACAGATCCAGCTTGAACGAATCAGATGATCAGAATTGATCGGCAGAAAAAAAAACAATTAATAACAATCATGGCACGGCTTCAATTAAACTAACGCCTATTTAGGCTATCTATTTTGAGTTCGCTATTTCATTCGAAATTTATATAATCAGAATTCTCAACGTCTATTTTACTGCAAATCTTTCTTTTCACAACTAACAAAAACAAGTTCAATTCATTGAGTTTTGGTTCGCTTCTATTCGTATTGCTCTAGAAGTTGTTATTGATATCAGGTTCCCCTTCGAAATAACCAGAGTCATTGACTGCAGGAGTCGCATTCCCGAAATCCATAGGCTCATCCTTGACAGTTGGTGTTACCTGAGCACCTGAAACTTCATTTTGTTCCAAGCCCGGCTCGGATTTCACAAATGCCGATGATGCGCTCTGTTCAGCAGCTGGTGGGTCAACTTTTCCGTCAAACTTGAACTGGCCTTGGCACGCACTTCCGTCTTTGCTCATGATGAGATATTCAGCACCTGCCGGGTTAGGGGTCAGCAGAGTTTCCTTCTTAACAGTAAATGAGAATGAGATCTGTCTTCCAGACATTTTCACACTATTCATTCAAGTTCCTAACTGATTGTTTTCAATGACCAGTAGCAACAAAGCTAGACCAAGGCCTTCTGAAAATGCAAGCTCTAAAATCAGTAAGCTAAGCTATCAATTAACAGTTTCTTTCATACTGCAAAAAAAACTGCGAGTTTCGGAAGTTAAATTCATCGTTATCAATATCAGCTTCGCAATAAAATCCCATTGAATGCAGATACAGCTTCTAACAAGAACACAACAGCTAAAATTCAAATAACAAATTTATGCATAGCAAAAATTCTGTTCACAACGTTTCAACCATCCAGTAGATGGCGTTTTCATCTACTTCACAATTATCGTAGCCTAATTGCGCTTCATTCTGAAAGCACTCAAAAATTTCAGTCTAATTCAATTACTAGACTACAAAACACCCGCCTATAGCAAGTGCATAAATTCAAATTTCAATCCGATGAGTTTCAAACAAGTTAAACTATATCATCTGTCTGACATTCTAGGCTGATTTGTGTTGAGAGGCGACATGTTTCGTTGCTCCTGCTTTGGTCGCAAACAACTTGCCACAGAAGGTGCACTTGTTTTTACCAGAAGTTGCATCCATTACTACGCCTTCGTGCTTCACTGGTGTCTGAAACAAAATCTTCAAGAAGTTATCCCAAATCGCATATTTTTTCAGAAGCCTCCACATACTATTTTACACTGAGGCGAAGTTGCTTTTGCAAACAAGTAAAAATGGCCGAAGGGAGCTTTGAAAACGCAAGATTATTTAAAAACATAGCCAACTGTCGGTGGGAAAAGAGTAATGAACGCAAAACAGAAAAAAATTGCTGTTTTTTTTGAAAAAATTCAACTTTCGAATTTAGAAGAAAAAATATATGTTCTTTGAGCTCTTTGAATTTCACGAACAATTGCTGATTTGTGCTTTTATTATAAAATTAACCCAATTTGAGAAGACTGGATCATTAGGTTTTTGATTAAAATTTTATTTCATTGGAAAATCTGGTTATAAAACTACATTTCCGAAATTTGAGGCCGATCACATTTTTAGTGGAGTTTACCTTCCTTTTAACAAAGGAAATGAATTTAACTTACAAAAAAAATAAAAAGTCAAGCCAGGAAAATTGAGCGTGAACAAATCTACTTTTTTTCTGAAAAAAAAACAAACAAAAATCATCAAGACCTATATAAGAGTTATCGCTTCAGGATTCTATGGCCTAAGGATAAAAATCCCGCATAGGGCCAGGTGCGGTATCATACTAAATACATATTAGTCGTGACTAGGATTTTAAAAAAACGTTCACTTAGTTTCGAGAAAAACGTTTCTGAATATTTTCGGTTGTCCGTCTAAATTAGATGGAAGGCTGATCTAACCTCCCACCTAAAATTAAACTTTATTTTAATGTTTACAAGCTAGCTTCATATGAGCAATGTACCTTCTCATTTTTGCCGTTTTTTTTAATCTAATTCAGTCGCCCGTGCTTAAACAGCAAAATGAAACATTTGCAATCGATGTTTTTCATACGTTTCGTTTATTTTCTGATTTTAATCTTTTTTGAGATCAGAACGGTCCAAAATTCTCTGCCACATGCACAGCAATCAGCTTCATGTTCCGACCATTGATAATGGGGAGGACCTTTGTATTCGGGTGTGTTTTATATGTTTTTTAACAAAATCAGGTACCATAAATTATCATCGGAGTGAGTCAATTGATGTATCATTTAAAACAGCTTTCGGTCGTGTTTTATAAACTAAATTAGAAACCACAAATACTCTTTGTAGTAGTTCCAGTGATATAACATATCTGTCATACTTAAATGTATGAAAGTGAGTATATCGAATCCGAACGGATTGATAAACGGAATCTTTGATTTGAGTTCGATAAAACAACTGTTCTTAAGAATCATACATTATCGTCTGAGCTATTGCTCATGTTTTCACTTCGGCGAACAGCCGTACAAGGTCAACTGATCAAACATGTCATTGAATTTATATCAAAAGGTCAAACATAAATGTATGCATCAATGATGCTAAGTTTATCCATCCGTACCGGATGACACTCCCCCTTCAACGGAACAAAAACGAACCGTTTTTAAACTTTGAGTTTAGAGTCCCTTGGGGACTGGTGCCTCCACGTCTATTTCTTTCAGTTGCCATTGTTATATTCTTTTTCCTTTGTTTCTTTGTTGTTGTTATTGTCGTCTTCCTGCTTTTCATGTTCCTGGTGTGTTTCGTCTGTTATGTTGTCCGCTGCTTTTCGCGTTTTCTTCATTTCGAGAAACAAAATTTCGTTCTTGTCAGGACTCGACTGTTGAGGTAAGGTCTATGATTTCTTTATTTTTCTTGTCCGTACTTTTAGGCCTTATCGCCTCAAAGAAATTCAAGCAGGCCTGATATTCGGGTGTCGTCAGAAAACCAATTTCCTGAAATAGGGATTTCAGGCTCGGTTTTGATGGCGATGTTGGTTGTTCATGCGGCGAATCGATGTTGAATCTTAATGCTTGTTTATCACTTCGTGCTTCGTCGATCGTGTTGATCGGAATAGGGTGACCCAATGCTTTCGCTAATGTTGCTTGAAGGTGATGAACTGATCGTCTTGTTGGTATCGTATTGGCTGATGTCGTTGTTGTTGCTGGTGGAGTTTTCTTTTGGTTCAACCGTTTTGGTGATGGCCCGGATGTTCCTGATGTTGTCGATGAATTCTCGCTCTTCGTTTCGCTTGACACGGTTGTGTCCTTTGTCGTGGCTTTTGTTGCGCTGGGGTTTTATCGTGTTTAGGCTCATTCCTCGAGGTTTGTTACAGGGGCGTCCGCCCGTTCTTCGTCCAGCTGGTTTGGCCCGTCGTATGGCTGGGCTATTTTGTCCATTGCTTTGTTCTTGATTGTCTGCTGCATGTTCCTTTCTCGTCATTTTCCTGGTTAGTCCTGTTTCCATATCCTCTGAACATTGTGTGGGGCGCATTTGGGTCTTCGATGTCTAAAAAACGTAGACAAGGTCTTGATATCCTTGCGGATTTGTACGCGACGTAATCACTAAACCGTGAAGGTCGGCACGGTCCGTAGATTAAAGGATTAGGAACAAATGCAACTCCACAATTTCTTAATAATCTGGGTTGTTTCCCGAATGATTGCACCCATGTCCCGTCAATAGTTTTGTATTTTTGTGCGAATGTTTCAGGGTCCTTCACCTTAGTAGCCACTCGGATTGTTTTTCTCACCACTTGATCTAATCGTTTATTGTAATGTTTCTGTCAATTGGTGCCTGTATCCTTTATACCTAGTATTCAGTTTATTTTTACTTATTTCTATAATTCTTTTAGATTGTGCACCTGATGTTAGTTGTGTTGATGGTTTGCTCGTTTCTTGTGTTTTTGGTTGTATCCGTGAGCGTCGGTTTACTGATACCTCGTCCTCCGACCATTGTTGCAAGTCTTGCATAATTTCTGCTGGTAGAGGCGGCGTTGTGAGGTTCTTTCGGTCATTTTCCAAATTAGGGTTATTAGGTGAGCTAGTTGTTGCCACAATGGATAAAGGAGTATTTGGCTTTCTACCCATGTGTGCTTCGAACAGTGAGATTTTTGTTACGCCATGTGGTGTTATTCTAAAGTTTTTATTATTTCGGCTACATCAGATGCTAGTTTGTATTGTCTGTTAGACTGTTATATTCTCATTACACCTAGCCTACTTTTCAATATTTGTATAGTTCTTTCTACTACCCCTATGGCTCTATGATCATCTACCGGTGCTAAAAGAAATTTTATGTAGTTTGTATTACAAAAAAGTTGGAATTTTTTGGCTCCAAATGTTTGGACTTGATCACATCGTAGTCGTCGAGGTACCCCATTATTCGAAATATATCGTTGCATAAATTTTATGGCGACATCCATCGTGGCATTTGTGACGTGACGACTTTTGCTGTGAGGATTTTGACCATTTATCTATTGCAACTAAGATGTAAGCGTCGTTATTTAGCTAATCAGAGAGGGGCCCTGCAAAGTCTAATTGTACCTCCTCATTAGGTTCTACAACAGGTTCCATTTGGAATGAGTATTTCTTTCCTAGATGTGTCAAATGTAGGCTATCCAGCACTGTCTGACGCAGCTGTGTAGGAACGACGATACGTTCGTCAATGAGCAGGCTGTCTTCGCGGACGTGAAATCGGTTGCGTACGTTGTACCAATACTGGCCGTATGAGGACTTAAACGATTCCCTATCCCGTTTTTAACAAAATTGATGAGTGGTCTCATATTACTAACTTTTCTGGTAGCGGCGGAAATGAATTTTACGCCCAGCACCTTTTGTAGTTTTTTACGAAACAGCGGTGTGTCCTCTTCTGATTTCGTCATTGTTGCCTGACTGATTATGGCCACTATCCCCTCCGTGATCATGTGGTGGCTTGCCTCGAGTTGCGTGTTGGTCATTGTGGGGGGTTCCTCGTTTGGTGCACGTTCCTCCTGACTGACAATGTTGCACTTGACTCAGCTCACGCCGTGTTCGTTCGTCTCTGTTGCGCATTATCGGTTTGTGTGCCTGACATTGCTTTGTAGTCTTCGCTTTGGACGGCTTGTGTCGTTCTCACTTTGAGTGTGGTTGGTGTCTGTGTTTTCGTCGCGTCTTCACAGAATATGATTTGTGGGAAATTCTTTGTCGATGGCCTCGAGGAAAGCAGTTCTCGCGCGTCCTTGACGGTATCCTTTGGTGATGAAGTGGTGGTGTCTGTTGGTTTTTGTTTCCTGACGGTTGGCGGTCGTTTATGCCACCGAGGGTCCGATAAGCTCTCCTCTCTGTCGCAAGACCCCTGTCAGTTTGATATTTCTTCGTCCTTTCTGCCTCGAGGTTCCAAAGTCTTAACCTCATCTGGAATGAATCCGCCGTTAAAATTTCTGATGTCTGTCTTACGATTCAATTTTTCGCATTCAGTTTATGTTATTGACAAGATTTTTTGAGTTTAAGATCGCTGAAATGTTTTTCTGAGAGTGTGGTTTGATCGTTGAATTTATTTTTTGAGAGAGAGCTGACTGAGTTTAATTGATTTCAGCAGAACTGATTTTGTTTCAGCGTTTGCAAATTTATGGAAATTTGTTCTTTCAATTGAGAGTTTGAAGTGCTAATTATTAGCCGTTTATTTTCCGCGCGCTTCTTGATCAGCTGAGACGGTGCCAAGTTCCGATTGGCTAAATTATTAAGGATGACGTTGTCAATCATTTCGAGGTTGTTCATTAATTGATGCATCAACGAATTCCTCAACGTACTCGCTTGGGGGTATTGCCAATCCAACTGGATTTCTTGACATAGTCTATTAGGCCCATTTTGCTGCCCGCCATATGTTTGATATCAAAATGGAATGAGATTAGTCGGTCAATCCAGCGTATTAATCTGCTTTGAGTGGTTTTTGATCTATCACTTGCGTTTAAATCGTTGATCAAAGCTTGATGATCAGTGATGACGATAAAATGTTTTCCATAAAGATAGTATTTGAAAGGTTCGAAGGCCCAAACTACCCCAAGTAATTCTAACTCATTAACTGAATATGTCTCCTCAAGAGAATTTAAAAAACGCGATGCATGAGCTATCGCCACCCAGCCTTCTTTTGAATGTTGCCCGAGTGACGCTCCTAAACCTGAGGTGGAGGCATCGCATATTATGAGCTTTTCCAAGTGTTAATCAAAATGTTTGTTCTGTGTTATTTCATAGACTAACCTAATGATATTTTTAAATGATGCATCGTGTTCCGGTTTCCACTTATTTGGTTTATTTTCCTCTGTATTATTTAGTAAAGGTCGTAATGCAGCTGCCGTCTGCTAAATTAGGAATGTACCTTGTGAGTTGTGTATGGAGCCCATAAAACTTTTTAGTAGTTTTAAAGTTTTCGGTGGTGACCGTTTTTCAATCGCCTCTGTTTTTCTTATTAATGGTTTAGTGCCCTCGCTGTTTATGGTGTACCCTAACCACTCAACTTGTCTACACGCAAACTTACATTTGTCCAGTGATATTGCGAGGTTTTCCGCAACTAGTTTTTCCAAGATCGTTTGAAGTTTTTGTTTGTGTATATCGATTGATCCTTTCGTTACTATGATTATGTCATCCAGAGGTGCGTTACGCATTCGAGCAATTGGTAAGTGTCAAATCAATAGCATTTCGAAATTCAGCTGGCATATCCGTGAGGCCGTAAAATCCGGTTTGAAATTGATACGTCCAGGTGGCATTGCCACCAATTAAACTGAAACTACATTGTTCTCGAGTTGATTTGTCCAACGGGTTTGTGAGTACGCATATCGCAAATCTAATGTTGAGGATAAAGTTTGCTGATTATTGTTCGATTTCACCACTTGTGCTATGTTGTCTAACAGCAGATCAAAATTAGGCATTTGATATTTGTTCTTGTAAATAAATTTGTTTATCTTTTTTGAATCTAAAGCCAATTTGACCGTCTGGTCTTTTTCCAGGATAATTAACATCGGACTGATGAATTGTCGATCCGAGCATTTATCCAATTTTATTAAGTGTTTTTGGTCGATAAGCTTGTTGAATTCTTTTTCGACTCGTTCTTGTAGGTGCACTGGGATACGGCGTCCTTTTTTGGATCGGAATAACGTCTTTGCTGAAGTGCGTTCGCATAACGTGGTTTTTTGACTTTCCAATCCGTACACATAATTGTGGAAAATTGTCTTTTACCCATTATTTAATATTAGGGTTTGATTCTTCTGGTTCGTGTATATTCAGCACGTCCCCTCGTTTGTTTTTCTTGAACTAATTTAATTCCGATCTGTGGTAACATATTTCTACCTATGATGTTTGCTTTGTTTTTTTAAAATTAGCCCCCGGCCTGCTTAGTGCAGGACCAACCGTGGGGGAGGGGGAGATGTCATCCATTTCGCCGCAGCCGTCCCACCTTGAGGCGGATAACACTGGGACCCCTCCAACAGTGACCGAAGCGGGATTCGAACGCATGACCCTCGTGGATTCGAACGCATGACCCTCGTGTTGAGAGACGTGTGCCTAACCCACTCGACCACGGCTGCTCTTTGTTTTCTGGTCGTCAACAATGATGAATGCGGCGGCTTGTATTTTCCAACCTCCTGATTCATTTGTTATAATCAATCATCCTTTTGGGATTATTGTTTCGCTATTGTAACATGCCAAAGTTCGAGCAGCGTCTTCCGGTGGGATACGTTTGAACAATGCTGACTTGTCATTTTCGTGTAGCCTCCGAGCTGTTTTTTTTGTTTGAAAACGACATTGGACTCCAGGAATCGGCGATAGCGAACAGTTCTTCTGTTTTCGTCTTTAGCTTAACTATGTGTCCTTTAAGATCATCTTCTGACAAGCTGGCCATGCTTTTAATTTCGAAAGCTTCCGAAATTGCCATTACCATAAATTTATCAATTTGATATTCGTTTCAACCATCTTTGGATGTAAATTCTGCGAATGCTACTGGATCGTTATCCGTTCCTTGACTCTCAGTATCAATTTCCTCCTGTTGTTCCTCATCATTGCGGTCCCTCATATAAATGACGTTTCCTGAACGGCACACTTTAGCAAAATGCCCACGTTTCGCACATTTTGAACAAATTTTATCCTTTGCGGGACACGATTGTAAGTGGTTCTGTCCAAATTGGCTACATTTGTAAAAATGTTTCTGAGTATTGAAGTTTGTGTTTCGTTATTGTTGTTGTCCTCTGTATTTTGTTGTCCACGTGGATATGGTCGACCGAGAAATCCGCCCCGACTTCTCTGTGAACTCTGATTATTCGCATAATTACTGCGTCCACGCCTGTTGATATAGTGTACTGGTTCTTGTTTTACTGTTGTTTGATTTCCGGAAGGATTTATCTTCCTTAAGCGACTATGTTCGATACCTTTTTCCCGGCGTAATGCATATTCATACGCATCCTGTGGGCTTCGCGTTTGAGCTAGTAGTTCCTCGGCAATTTTCTCGTCATGCATATATGCGGCGAACATGTCTCTCACCCACACGTCTTCTCGGTCTCCACATTCGGCTCTTGAAGCCAGTTCAACTAGATCTGCATGGAATTGTTCAAGACTTTCCGTTTTCTCCAAATGAAGTTGTATCTTTCAAACGCTACAATTCTGGTTGTGACAAAAAAAATCTTCTAAGGTCGTTATTAAATTTCTTTAGTCACCGTACGTAGATCAAGGCCCGGTCTCATTTGTTGGACTTGTCGTTGCCCCTCGGCTCCAAGGCAGAGAAAATGTATCTTAGTATTTTGCGTCTGCCTCATTCCACCGGAAAGAATTACATAAAACTCCTTTTTCTCTGGCCTTGACCACGTGGTTTTCAAAGCCGACTCTCTCTTCCTGATTTCTAACTTCCCGGTTTTTCTTTTGGGCTTCCGTTTCTCCAGTTATCTCAACTTCATAGCGAGGTTCTATAGGCTCAACTAGTGGTGGTTTATTTCTTTGTAGATTTCTTACTTCGATTCCGTCTTTCGCAAATACTGCCATTTCGAATATTGCTGCCCATTTCGACCACTCTAGAAGTGGTTCAGCCAATGCTTTCTCCCAGAATGGGCTGTTTAGCGGGTTTTTCGAAAATCCTGCTGGTTGCGCCATGTCATACCTCAATGTATGAACGTGAGTATATCGAATCCGAACGGATTGATAAACGGAATCTTTGATGTGAGTTCGATAAAAACAACTGTTCTTAAGAATCATACATTATCGTCTGAGCTATTGCTCATGTTTTCAATACGGCGTAAATCCGTACGAGGTCAACTGACCAAACATGTTATTGAATTTATATCAATAGGTCAAACATAAATAAATGCATCAATAATGCTAAGTTTATCCATACGTACCGGATGACAATATCAAAGCTCTTTCAGTCGCGATTTAAGCGTTTTCAAAACTTAGCTGTGCAATGTCAAAAAAAATCGGTTTAAAATTACGAGTTTTTGGCTCATTTCGAGCAAATAAAGCGAGCGAGTAGGCCTTTACTCGCTCGAAATAAAACCAAAAACCTGATTTCAGTAGTCTTTGGAAATTTTGGAAGCTTAATATTTTTTTCGGGTCCATTTCTACAAAAACTATTGTCCAATTTGCCTATTTTACTATCACTGTCTAATATGCCTAATTTCTAGTTTTACATCCAGTCCTTTTATCACACCACGCAGAAAAACGACACTAATTTGAGAAAATTGTTTTTTTAAAGACTGGTCGGAACATTCGGTGCTACTTGCGCAGTAACCGGCTATCCTTGTTTTGTTTTGAAAGTGTAGCAGTTCGTGTTCTATTATTATATCATTAAGGTTAAATATTTACCGAGGTCATTGATGGATTCATGGCAGGTGCTCCAACTGGCAGCTCGAGACCTGGTTCCGCTTTTATCACCGGTGACGCAGATTGTGTATCAGAGAACCCCGAGTCATTGTGATTGAAGTTTGGCTCCGCTTTAACAACTGGGGCACCCATTTCTGGCTGTTCATTATCCACACCCCATGAAGTTGATGCTTCACCCTTCACATTCACCTGGTCATTACCTGCCCCGGCTCCCATTTTGAATGTTCCAGTGCAATTCTGTCCACTTTGGTCTACAATTAGATACTCGGGCGAGGTAGGGGTGGGTGCTCCTGGTGTCTGTTGAACATGGGCCAGCAAGTCTTTCTTAGGGATGGTGAAACTGAATGAGATCATCTTTCCAGACATGATAAAGATTTCAGTATATTCTTCGAATTAGTTCAAAAATCAAAAACAAATCTGAAACATAGGTACAGCTGATACAAAAGATCTCAGTACTTTCATGTGCATATATCACCAAACTTAAAACCAGGGGCGGATCTAGGATTTTCTCGAGGGCAGGGGCGGATGTTTAAAAAACAAAAACTTTGTCGACCTTTTTTAGGACGGCCAAATTGATTTTCCTAGCGCTCCCAGAACACTTAACACTTCAAGGACCCTATTTCGACAAAATTTATAAACACTTCAAGGACCCTATTTCGACAAAATTTATAAACACTTCAAGGACCCTATTTCGACAAAATTTATAGGCACTTTTGCAAAGTTTTGACCAAAGAATTAAGTTTTTTGGCGCGCGCTCCTTTCAAACTTAGTCATTTCTGCTTCAAAGGCGCCTTTAGAATAATTTTAGGGCTCATTTCCACTCCACTCCTCCCTCCCACATTTGAATTTCAGTTTTGAAAAAAAATAATTTGACGTTGTCATAATTTGACGTGGTCATGTAATAAAATTTTGCACAGCGAACAACTTCACTATTGTCAACATTTCTGTTTTTTATATCGTGCATCGTAACATCACGCATTCAGCCATAATCACACGTAAAACAGTAATAAAAATAGAAACTTTGAAATGTGGGGAAGAGCCAATTTTAGGGTTGAATGTCCACAAATAATAACAAAGTGAGGACCCTTAGATTCGTGAGGGGGTCGAATCCCTGAGGAGATAGGGCGCCCGCCCTCGCCACCCCTCCTAAATCCGCCCCTAACTAGAACTCTTTTTCTTCATGCCATGCTTCACAAAACCCCGTTATCAGGAATTCATTTTCAAACGGTGTCTATCTCGCTTAAATTCTTGCTGGTTAGGTTTTCAAAACTCATGTTAAGAAGAGTTATAATTCCAAGCAACCAAATAATTTGATTTCATCTAGAACAAAAGAGAAAGAGCGCGGTATAGGATGGTGTGGCATTACTTGTAATGTACTATCTGCATCATTATTTAACGTATAAACAAAGACAAAAAGAGCAGCTAATTGTCGTCTAATCTCAGAAAATATCTAATATTAAGGAGAAAATAGTGAGCTAACTTTGAATAAATTATTCAACTACAGTATTGCTGAACTTATAAATGTCGATGACTAAAAATTTTGATCAATCGAAAGGGCTTAGGCGCTACTGTTAAACTATTTAACAAAATCATCAATAAATGTCAAGAAGGATTTACATCAATACATCGTAATGGTAGCATCAAAATCATTACTGTAAAATTACAACTCAAACTTCACCCCTTCAAAAGGAAAAAAATTACCGGTAGCACATATGTTTCAAATTTTTTGTTCAGGGAGAAGAAAATTGGAAAAAAATATAAGTTGGTTCCAAATAGGCATGATCATCATAACGTTGAAAACTGCTCTCAGATTGGCAAATGATTGAGGAACGGTAATTGTTTTGCAAAACAACAAATAACCACTAACAGTTATCTCTAATATAATTATTAATCAACTACACTTTCTACCTAGCGTTCTAAGATCTACATCAGCAGTGTAAAGCAGAAAGAAGATTGAAAAAGTTGCTAATGAAAATTCAGCAAATTAACTTAACCCAATGACTTACCGGTGTTCTAATCACACAGCACTATGAGAGGAGTATCACACTACTATTCTATGGTCTAGTCTAGTTCTATCATGGACTATCTTGGTCTACCACTACTATTTACTGACTACCTTCAATCACTCAAATCGAAAAAAAATCAAATCAAGCATTGATAGCACCTTCCGTTTGAATTGAACCCATCCGCACTCCAGAAGAATGAAACTCACACGAACAAATACACTACATGAGTCACTTAAGATCTCTTTTTAACAAACCCTCATTTCAAAAGACGACTATTTGTATTCTTAACACTTGATATTCTATCTTTTTTCATATTTACAGAGGGTGATTTTTCAAGTAGATCTATAACAATAGTCACTCATGTTTCCATTTGTTTTGGGTTAACTTTGCACCATTCAAGTTGTAACATGAAATCATATTATTACTTCATGTTTTTCATCATCACTGTCATCATAGTTATCATATCACTCTCAAAGCATCGACATTTCCATCTAATCTATTAAATACTGTAGTTATAATTATTTAAACTATCCTATCCAGCCACCAAAAGCGCGGTCGTTTAAAAGCTACGAGAGGTCGGCATTCGTGCTCGGCCGAAATTAAAACTCGGAAAGAACGAAAGAAGATAGAGATATACAGTTAATCCAATTTTTTCTGCAGTATGAAACGATATCTTTTATCCGATCTCGAATAATTCCACTGTATTGTGAACGTTCAAATATCCGACCAATTCATATTGCAGAATATAAATCACCAATTCGGCCAGAAGTTTTTAAAAGCTACGATAAATAATATAACTATTAATCTACCTTATCTATGTGTAAATGGAAAGCAAGTTAAATACATGGCTGATTGCGCTACGAAAGTCAGGTAAGTAACATTTGAGGGAAGGGTTCCAAGTCCAAGATTCAGTTGAAAAACAAGTCAATCGTCAATCACTGAATCGTTTCATGCACACTACATTTTAATTAACTGCCCATTACGACATTGAATCAATTTTTAAGAAAACTTTTCTGTCATCTCGATTAACTTCAATAACTTTCTGCAAAGCGAGCTTTGCTTTGTGGAACTCTTATGAATGTAAAATTTAGAACGAATTGCCTTTATCTTTAGTTACCGAACTCAAGAGGATTGAGGGTGAAAAAGGCGCTGAGATAAGATACATGGACATCACTCATTACCCGTGAAATGACTTCATGGCGTCTGCACGTTCGATACTTTGCTGATATTATCCTAGCGTATATGGGGCATTTCAAACTTCTGTCAATTATCTGAGGACATCAAATTATGGAACTCTATTGTTTTAGCAAAGCATTCGAGGCTATGCTAGATGCGATGAAGGCTGACACCATAGTTCAACTTCTTCTGATTACAAAACTTGTTCTCTAACCAGAGGGAGACAAAAATAGCATCATCATTTGCTTGAGTTGACCTTGATTCTTCGTATTAGTTTGAGTCAACATATCGCGAACTTTGATTAGTACCCATTGAGCTTAACCTGAAACGCTCAAAAAGTGATCATCATCAACGCATTTCAAATGTAGATGGTTTAGCGATGTTTCAGTACGCTACAAATTTTTAGGCGCCCAAATCAAATTTAATTCATTAGAAAAGTAAATTAGTCTCCCTCAGATCACTTGACTATCATATAAAATGCACATTTCGATTATGATTGAGTTGCAATTCGTGTTTTTATTTAGCTGTTTACATACATTTAAAAGCACAAGACATTGGAGATGCTAACATAAAATGTCGACATGAAAAAGTGAAAAGCAGATACATCCAAAATGCACAAAATCTTCAGATGCTTTTCAACGAGTTAATCGAAACAAACATCAAAAAGCTAGATAATAATTCACATCGCTATTTGAAGATCAATCATCAACTACTCTCTCAGTCGTTGGCGAGTTTAGTTGGAGGGGGTGGGTTGGCGGCTCTCATTTAGTTGAAAATGTGAAGCACAGTAACAGGGAAACTGTGATTTTTGAGTGTGGTGGTTTAATTGAGTGATTAGATTCAAAGTGCAATTGAAGATTGTGTTGGTTTGTTTTACTTGTGGGATGATGGTGGTGGTGGGAAGAGGTGACGCGGGTTTAGAGAGACGCACTTTAAGGCTTCTCTGTTACCATCAAGGCCATTACTACTCAAGTTTAACTAATAATCCTATTACTACACTAGCTACCATCTATAACTACTTCTAACTTTTTCAAAAGTTTCATCTAACTTTACTTTGTAGAAAACAAAACGAAGAGAAAATACATCACTTCGGGACTTGTTTTAGTGTTTGTGTGATCCTTGAAAATCCATCAACAAGACAGGTCAATGCGAAGCACAGAGGAGAAATGATTGGGAGGGAAGGAAAAGTTCATGAAGGGTCAAATTGTGTAAGAGTCATAATCGGCTTGAGTTTGGATAGGAGACGAAAAGAAAGCGCAAAATAAGACATTTGATCAGCTAGCACGGACGGCCGTCAAGGCCGAGAAATGATATTCTTTCTAATTGACATTTTATCAGTATACAGCTTATGTTTTGACATTTTACATAGCCCAGAATTCAGTCAATACTCAGTTAAGCACTGTACAGAAATTTTAGAGCACACAATTGTTACTAGGTCACCCCTCTGAACCATAAAAATATGAGGATGATGATTTAAATCACAAAATAAGCGGTGTCCTAGATCGTCAAAAGGATGATTTTGCCCAAGCTGCAACATTTAAGTCTATCTACACTAAAACTAACGTTCGAGTGTAAACTGAAAACTAAAATCGTGTAAAGAAGAACAAATGTCTGTCGCTAAGTAAATTAAATTTCTAACGCCAATATACTTTGGAAATGGGGAATATTTTTGCGGTCTTTGAACTACTGCTCTATGGTATGGTATTGTACGGCGTGGCTTTGTAAGGAAATTTAAGTAACATCTATTTCTATGACTACTGCTTCAACTAATATACTAGGTACACTGTATAAATAACGAAACAAACGAAGAAGACAGATGAGATCAGACCAATCAGATCACTGTTCGTAAGACTAGATCGAAAGATTACTAATAACTAATCCGGAGTTAACTAGTTAACATGAATCATCATATTCATAAGCAGCCACATTGAAGATTAGATTTATAGGTAAGTTTTGTTTGTTGCATTGCTGTTCATCGCAACCATTTCTGAACCATTTTGCATTTTGAAGAGATTTTCATTTGAGAAACGACAGACAGCAGTCGGCAAGATTTGAGTCGAAGTTACTGATTTCCGTACCCCTGGTAAGCGGCTACCATAGCGGGAGGAACAGCTGAGAATCCAAAAGGTGATCCGAACTGGAATCCAGTATTCTGGGGACTGGTTGCGAGGATTCCAGCAGCATAGTCATGTGGGTTGTCCAGGGTAGTTGGCAGGGGAGGACTAGTGATTCCTCCAGGACCTCTGGGAGACCCGTTTCCAATGTAGGGCAGGGTGCTCAAGAAGTTCTCGCGGGCCAGGGTGTCCAAGGGCGAGGGACTCATGGCAGTTGGACGGGTGGGGAGCTGTCCATTAAATGGCGAGGACATTAGTTCTCCAAAGAAAAGACCGTTCGGAGTTCCAGTTCTGTCTGATGTCAGGTGTCCGCCAAGCGGAGAACCAACTTGGAAGGTCGGACTTCCAGCATAGTTCAAGACCGGCGAATAGGGAAACTGTGCGAATCCGCCGTTGAAAGGATTAGCCATGGACCCGTTTCCCAAAAAGGCATTCCTCTGACCATTGATGTAGTAGGGTACATTGGGATCTTGTTGAGCGCCCATGGGAATAGGACCATATGACCACTTCTTGAGCTGAGTGTTGTTCTGCATCGCCTCTTTTGGTTGAGCTTTCTTTGCTTCCACCATTTTGCCTTTGATTTCGTGATAGTGCTCACGGCACGCATTTTCGGCTGCTTCTTCAGCGGCAAACTAAACGCAATTAACTGCCAGTGAACTCACCGTTTTACTAATTTTTCCAAACAGTCGCAAATTTTCCTATCAGCCCCACTGCTAAAATAAAACGATTTCGCATATTTCAATTTTGTTCAACGGAAATAAGTGATACTGCAATTGATCGCTTATCACATCTTTTGCGTACTAACCTTTACAAATCCGAATCCTCTAAGACGAAGGGTGGTCCGGTCGTACATCAACATCACTTCCTCTACCTCTCCGAAGCGACTGAAGTGCATCTGCACATCTTCGTTGGTAGTGTCCGGATGCAGTCCTCCCAGAAACACCTTCTTCGTCTTATTTATCAGTTTGCTCTGGTACTTCGGAACAGCTCGCTTGGGGTCTACCACTTTCTCGTCAATCACATGTGGCCCTACGTTTTGAACGTGAGCCAAAACCTAAAATGAGTAATGATTAGGGAAGAATAAATTTATCAAAGCTGGTAAAAACACATCACTAATTTTATATAAAATACAACTTCAGCACATATCGAACTTCGAATGGATAAACGACGAGACCAGTGGATCTGCAATTTGATTACCCTATAGAAAATAGATCATTACCCTATAGATTATAGATCATTATTAAGTTGTGTTGAGCAGTTCGAAAAATGTCTTAAAAATTTACGAGCTAATTACTATCTCATAACTTGAGCCGATTAACTAAATCACGGGTTCCCCACGGGGAAACAATATTTATAAACTCTGATTTCGGCTTATCCGTTCAAAAAATTACACCATATGTCCTCGTGAGAAAAGGTAAATTATTATTTCTCGATAGCAAAAGACATGAATTCTTTAATTCATGTACAGAAACCGAGTTGACTTGCATTTAAAAAACTTGGGTTGGAGGATATTAAACCTATTGAATCGAGGGTATTATAAAACCTTATCGATCGGGAACGTATCGAAAATTTTTGTTCCGACAATTTTCGAAGAAAATGACGGAATATTTTTACTCAGGTGGTTTTTCTCTAGACAAATTTCGAAAACTAGCAACTTTTGACAACACACTTCTATATCAGCCAAAAGGTATTGTTTTCCTGAGCTCAATTTTACACAGATGCGAAGCTGTGCTTCGCAAACACTTGCAAGAATATGACCAAAAAGCAGCTCTATCAAGTGAAATAAGAAACAGCAGAAATAATACTCGAATTAGCAAAAACTCGGCTACGTGTCGGATTCGACCACGGATGCATAAAATCCTCAAAAGGCAGTCACCAAAACGCTGCTGCAGATGCTAATGAATTGCCAACTCGATGCAGCAAACGTAGCACCAAATACAAAAAGGCACAATTCTACATGTAATAAATCGGAAAGCATAAAGCCAAATTATGCATAAACTAAGCATTTCAAAAAATTGCAAGATATATTGAATTGGAAAATTTCTTAAATCCAGCTTTACTTGTGCTGCTGTTTGAAACAAATAACTTTTTTCGGTTCATTACATGAATTAAAAATGCATCAGCTGTGTAAATTTTTACTTATCAAATGTCAAAGCACATGATATTTTGCTTCAGCAGCCAACCGATTCAAAAGTGTCATCCAAAGTAGCACTCTTATTTGCGACTTAGGTTTGGGAAAAAACGAAAGTTCATACTAATATACTTTGCTTCGTTAGTGTAAAAACGATATTGTATCTTTGATTATTTTTTGTTAAGTTATGGGGGTTTAAAGATAGCAAATTTGGGATAATTAACTCGCCATACATTCCGCGCTAATAATGCGCAAGCGGAGATTTAATCCGTCTTAGAAACAGTTCCAAATTTCTTTGAGGCATGCTATTCAGTCTATGTATTTCTTAGGTATATGCAAAATCTTTCACTTTATACTTAACATAGCGTGTGGGGGATGATTTGCTAATTCCTACTTTTTTTGTGAAGCGAGCACTAATTCATATAACCTAAAAACAGTCGGAACACACTGTCCTGACACACGCAGTCTTGCTCTATCTTTGAACTCGATGGTGGTTCATAAACATAGCCTTTGATAGATCTGCGGGTTTTTACTATTTGAGTTTCAAAACTTCACTTAAGTATGATTCTGAATGAAGATCATTGATAGATCTAAGCAAACATTTAATTAATTGATAAATGTAAGTTCGTAAACGGAGACTATTTGGTGTTAAGAAAAATCTCCTCTGAACTGTCTTAACGTTTCCGAAAATACATGAAATTTATCGGTTTCTTTTTCAGAATGAAAATTGGTATTGAATGAAAATGATATAAAATTCAGAACCAGGAGAGACGAATTGAACAATGAGTCGCTCAAACTTTTGTCAGAAACATTAAAAAACCTTCTACCAATAACTTGGATGACTCACCCGTTCGACAGATTCTGGGTCAGCAAATTTCACAAACCCGAATCCTCTCGACCTCTGAGTAGCCGCATCTCTCATCACGCAGTGTTCCACTACCTCTCCAAATTGGGAGAAATGTCTGTACAACATGCTGTCATTCGTATTCCACGACAGTCCCCCAATGAACATCTTGTTCGCTTCGGTAGCGTCATTGTAATTCACTGACATTCCAGACATCGCTCCCATCGGACTCAGGACCTGGTTGAGCATTGATGGATGTTTTGGATCCAAAGGATCGCCTGCTCCTCCCATGTACTGTTGCACCTGGACATTGTTCGGCTGTGCCGTCATCATCTTCACTCCTTGGACACCTGGATGAACCATTCCATTCATGCCTTGATTGTTTATCATAGTCGGGACACCTCCAGCCGTGTTGTTCATGCTGAATTGGGGAGGTGAACTCGGCGGCCGGTGAACTTGTGAGTAATCTACTGGAACGACTCCTTGGACATTGCTTACCGGCTGTTGAACAGCGATGGGCGCAGAGGACGGCATGTTTTGGACTTGTTCGTTTTGCAGTGCCGATGAACTGGGAGCGACTGAGCTGCCTGGCGTTGATGCTCCTCCGCTACTACTATTCGATCCATTCCGGCTCGTGCTGCTGTTACTAGAGTCCAGAGAATCCATAACACGTATTTCAAACTAACTCAACTGAAACTCAGATCACATAAACTTACAAAATATTCATTACTGAATTAATCAAGCAGATCGAGAATCAAGGGCAAGACGTTCAATTTACGTCTGTATTTTACGCAGTGATGCTCAATGATGCTGGAAAAACATAGCCAACAGAAAATTGTAAAAAAAATGCAGAGGCGAAGCAGAGACGTGCAACTACTTGCGATACAAAAAAGGAAGGACTATCACTACTTGCAGATGAGCCGACAAATTGGAAAATGAAAAACTTCAAGAAAATTGTTTCTATTACTAAATAAATGCAAAAAAAAAAAATCCGGAATCTTAAAACTGAAATACTTGCTCCTTTATAAACTTTACATACAGCGGCGAAGCAAAGCTTCGAACTACTTGCGATAAAACATATACATAGAATAACAATCTAACCGACAGAAACAGAAAATGAAAGCAGTAGCAAAAATTGAAAAAATATAAAAACCAAAAAAAATTACAACTGCCTTGCTTTTCGCCTTCAAAAAAACTCCTTTCAAAAAATTATCCAAGAGGTAAGACAATTGGATGTTAAGAAACTATCAAAAAAAAACTTACAGTGCGGTAGCAAAGCCGACGATTTTTGAGCAGACATAAATTGCACCAAAAAGTTTGCTCACAAGAAATACATAGTAACAAACCAAAATAGGATACCACAAAACCTTTCAGTCCAAGAAAAAGAAAAAAAACACAAAAAAAACAGTATACTGGAATCGGAGTTGGTAAAATCACAAGCAACATAAAAAAATTTCAACAAGGATTGCAGGTTACTGACAAGCACAGAATAATCCGCCAATATTGTAATGAAAAACCAGGGGCGAATTTAGGGGGGGGGGGCTTTGGGGGGGGGGGGCGGACGCTTTCCACCTCAGCGATTCGACCCAAAGGGTCCCCCCTTTGGTACTTTTTAAGAAATCCATTTTTTGCCGACCGACCTTTAATTTTTTCTAGGGGCGCCAATATATTCTAACTTTGAGAGGGGAGCGCGCGCTGAAAAAACTTTTTTGGTCAAAATTTTCCAAAAAGTGCCTAAAAACGCCTTTTTTGGACTGTTTTTTCAAAATTTTGCCTGCAGCGCAGAAAAATTGGCCAAAACAGGGACTAAACCGTGCTTAGGGAGAGCTCTAAAAATCAATTCTGTCGACCTAAAAAAAGGTCGACAAAATTTTCAAACACCCCGAAGACAAAACAAAAAATTGAAAACGTCGAGAGAAGCTAGATATGTTAAAATTTTCATATCTTTGTCTCAATTCGTCTTGAATAAAAATCATTTTTGAGAAAAAGATGCTGAATGAGTTTATAGAACTTTAAACTTGCATCGAAACTTAACTTATCAAGCCGAAACAAAATCGACAACTTTTCAGCAGACACCTGTTGAGCCAAAAAAAGGTTTTCATTAAAAAATGAAAACAGTATTCGATTCTCGCCACCAAGGACTGACGTGCATCAGCAACTTGTTTCGCTCATCCAACGACCCAAAATAAGGCCGTCGAACAAATTAGGCGACAACCAAAAATGGCAAATTTACAACACAGGCGAAGCGGAGCTTTGCACCACGTACGCCACAGCAAATATAAAAAAAGTCGAAAAAAATATATATGTTGAAAAAACTAGGTGAACCAAAACTTTCGTATGTCTCGATAAAAACAACAAGGGGTCCAGCTGAAGCTGGAGGTACGTGCTTGATACTAGATGAAATTTCTATACTCATGGGTCAAGAAAAATGTGGTTTCAAAATTTGGACTTTGCGCAAAACCTCTAATGTTCTCTTCTAATTTTGAGATAATCAATTTTCCCAAAATATAACATTTCTCTAACGGGAAAATAAAGAGACCCCGCTTCTGTAGGAACAATTATCCCAACCGGTCAATTATCCCAACCGGTCATCTCAGATTTGATTAGGTAGTTTAAAAGAAAAATCAAAAAATTTCTAAAAAATGGTCAAAAGACTTTCCAAAATCCATAACTTGTTTCGGCAAAAAACAGGTTGTGGCCATTTATGCAGAGAAGATTCCCAAAACCAGGTTTTTTCATTTAAAACGTATTGAGAATTGGCACGGTAGTTTTCGCATAGACTTGTTTGAAGGTCATAACTTTTTTCTTTAACAAACTGGGCATGTTCAATTCTAAACTTAAGCTTTCAATAACCTGTAGCTTCGATTAAATATATGATATAAACGAGCAACATTCAAAAAATGTCACTCTGAGAACCACAGCTTTTTGTTGTAAAAAAGAGATCGGAGTCGATTAAGCAGAAGGAATTTTAAAAACCTATAGCTTCGATTGAGCCCAAAAATGTCAGATTTGGGAGGGTAGTTTTCGGTTAAAAAATTTTTCGGAAAAACGGTTAAAAAATAAAAATTGCCGAGGGCTATAAATTTTGGTGTCAAAAATTGGGTTGTGGTTGCATAACCAAATTCGTTTTTCACAACCCCTTCCTTGAATTGAGCCCAAAATCTCAGATATGGCAGGGAAGTTTTCGACAATATTCAAAAAGTTTGAAAAACGGTCAAAAAATCAAAAAAAAAGACTTTTCCGAGGGCGATAACTTTTTGTGTCAATGAAAATTTGTGAAGTGCCTCTAATGCAGGAGATCTTTCCAGTGCCCATTAACTCCCTTGATCCCACAACATCAATTCCAACGACTCCATTGGTAAACATACAACCAAGTTGAGAAGTGCGAAGGAAAGTGTTCAAATTGTGTTTCCCTCCAAACAGCCCAAAATTAGGTCATTAGGCCAATGGAAAATAGGCCATATTAATTTGGGCCGAGAAATTTTTTCAGCGAGTCCAAGATGTGACAATTAAGGCAACAAGTAAGCAGACAATTGGCCGACAATTTTATTTGAAACAGAATATTTCCCATTTGAAAAAAATAGAGACTACTCAGATTCGAACCCATGACCTGTGCCTTCAAAGGCATAATCTTTACCTCCGGGCTAAGGGGACTGGGAACGCAAGGAATTCATTATGAATCAAGAAACAAATTATTCAAACGATTCTGGTAAAAAGTTGGTAAACCAAAAAAAATCTGTGTTAGGTATCCAGACATGCTCGACATAAGTCCGTTGGTTAACACCGAGCAGATTTTAGAAAACGATTTAATGATTCTGTTGAAGAAATTGTTCGCAAGACAAAGCCTTTGTTGTGCATTTCTAACGCCATCATAACTTTAACATAAGAATCACATGCGTAATAATTCCGTGAACATTCATCCATCTATTTGAAAAATTTGTCAGAAAAACAGCACTAATTCCGCAAGAACCTTGTAACTCAATTACCTCAACCAAAGGTGCTTGAAAACTGGTATCCAGTAAGCAGGACGAAAGCGTTAATCTAAAAGAGATGAGTATTGAGCCATGCATTCCAAAGAAAGAATTCCATTTTACTTCCTTTCGTCGCAGATAAAATTATTCAACTTTCTCCAAAAAGAGCTCAGAAGAGTAATGGGCGAAAAAAATACTTACGCTTTTTAGGCATGGAGGTATAAGAACTGCGTCTACAGAAATCATCAAAACTTTTTCATTTTGAATTGGAAAAACCAGCAGAAAAAAAAGACATTTCAAACAATAACATTTCAAACGATATGCACGAATTTCAAACAAAACACAGGAATCGCGTTGGTAAATATACAAAATTTTTTAACATGAGGTACCATAACCCTCGAAAGGACAGCTAACGGATCCATCTTGGTTGCAACAACGCTGGCCGTTACAACCAGAACTCAGAACTGACCAATAACTGCAAAAACAAGGAAGTAAGAAAAAGTTGAAGTGTCAGTTCAAACCAGCAGATACTTGCAATTTTCAAGACAGTCCAACGACCTATATTACGAGCTCTGTATCCAATGTATAAATTTTTCTTCTAGCGCAGTTGATAGCAATCAAACAACTAGAAAAGGTTAAAAAACCATCCGTCAAATAATGTGAAACCCTCAAGTCGCAGGCACCCCCCTACCCCTAGTCAGCTTCAGGCACAAAAATAACTTGATCACATAACTAACTGCCTAAAAACCTGCGGAGATTTGATTATCAGGCTAAATTGCCAGCAGACAGCCAATAGAGCTGATCCAATGAACAAAACGCTTTGAAAAAAAAATACGACTGCTTCAACAATGAAACATGCAGGTGCTTCAAACTTTCGTAATTGGTCAGAAATCTCAGTTACCGCATTTAAAATGCTTGAAAACTGAAACTCAGTAAGTAAGAGGAAAGTTAAACCTGCAAAAAGTCCGTGTTACGGGAAAGAAACCGACAAAAATAAATAGACAGACGATAGTACGAAAAATCAGAACCTCTAGTTTGCAAATAACACATCCCGACCGGACTCGAACCACAAGCGTTTGAAGACTCAGGCGTATGTTTTTCCTCAACTCCCTCCATGCAACCTGCGCTGGATAGTAGATTGAATTTAATGCAGGGAATTTAACGTAGTATTTTCAGGTGCGATATCTTGTGAACATAGTTCTATACCGAATTATCAAGAAAATTAGTCCTAATAATTTCAAAGTTCTATACGGACAAAAATGTGATTCAGTATGAAAAAACAAGATCATGTTTCTAACAACTTACGCCGGAAAAATACAAAAAAAAACAGAAACTTATTCTTGCTCTTCAGACGACACATTATACGATGAAGAAACCGACATAACACAAGGATAGCCAGTTACTGCGCCAGTAGCACAGAATGTTCGGACCATAGTCTGAAAAAAAAAACATTTTTGTTCAAATTAGTTTCTTTGCTTTTCTACAACTTAGGCATATTAGACGGTCATAGTAATTGAGCAAACTAGACAACCGTTTTTCCAGAAAAATGACAAGAAAAACTAAAATAAAACATGACATTTAGCAGTAATTTCGAAGTAAAATTTAATTGTAAACGGCATAACTTAAGCATAACTCAAGCATCCTAGCTCGCTTTACGCGAACGAAACTAGACGAAAAATCAAAAATTCCGAACTTGTTTTTCTCGACACTGGAAA